CTTTGCCAGAAAAAAGCGCCAGTCTAGACGCGGATCTTTCGGAAAATAAAGCCTTTTCTGAAAGATCCCTTATTCCTCTTAAAATAAGGGATAAGGAATCTTTCGGAAAAGGCTTTATTTTCCGAAAGATCCGCGTCTAGACTGGTGCTTTTTTCCGGCAAAGCTCCGAGCTGGAAAAAAGCAGCAACTACGTTTATGCAAATGAAGCGGAGGGGATTTAAATCCCCGCTTCATTTGCAATTGCGATGTGTCTAATTTGCATCCCATTTACGGAAAAGGGATGCAGTCTAGACACAGCCTAAGGGTACGTCTACACTACAACGTTAATTCAAGTTAGGTTAATTTGAATTATTTCAAATTAATCTAACTCGAATTAACGCATTTACACAGAAAACCTATTTCAAAATAGCGTTTTGCTATTTCAAAATAGAGCTTCCACACTGAGTGGACCCTGAACCGAAGCTAAGGCTTGCCGGAACCAGTGCTGGCAGGGCATCAGGTTAGGACTTAGTGTGTGGGGCTGCTGCCTGAGGCTAACTGAGCTCCGTGCTTAAAGGGACCCTACCCTCACCCCGGACAGTCAGTTCTCAGGATTCCCTGCTTGCTTGTCTACCTCAATGAGGGACAGCAAAGCAGTCCTGGCTTAGAGTGCCCTGAGTGCCCGCACTTGGGACACTACAGCATTCAGCCACATGGAGCCAGAGCTGCCCCTGGGCACGGCAGTGCATATCGTGGGGTCATTGCTATCAGCCTGGCTGCACTTGCTGCAGGCTGCCATCCAGGGGGTCCATCGCAGGGCTGTCAGGATCCAAAAGGCCCTGCGGGAGAGCGTCCACCCTGACGAGCCCTCAGAGCCACCTCTGTCCTCCCCACTGGGGGCTCGTGCCCCATTCCTCCCTCACATCCTTCAACTTACCCCTCCCTAACCCCCCTTCCTGATGTCAAACAAAAGACACATGTTCAAAAATAGAAACTGGGTTTATTGAACAAAACTGGCGAGGATGAACCTCTGGGGAGACTGGGAAAAGGAGGTGGGAGAGGGGAAAAGAGAGGGTGGGAGAGGGGAGGGGGAAACCTGTGAGGAGGAAGCTAGAAGGGGGAAACCAGGGGAAGAAGGAGGAGGGGAAGTATTAAACTATGGTACACCCACATCTTCAGTACTGTGTACAGATGTGATCTCCTCACCTCAGAAAAGATATTTTGGCCTTGGATAGGGTTCCGAAAAGGGCAACTAAAACGATCAGAGGTTTGGAACAGATCCCATATGAGGAGAGGCTACAGTGACTGGGACTTTTCAGTTTGGAACAGAGGAGACTGAGGGGGGGTATAATAGAGG